ATTACATACAATTTAGACATTGCAGTCTAATACACAAAGAGGCTTTCAAAGACAACATTTCTTCCATGTCATTAAAGATTGTGTATGAACATCTGCTTTGAAAATTTTGCACAACAGGCTACTTTTCGATAGGTATTTATGAATATAGATTACTTTTGATTAGTTTTACTATCAAAGTTATGACAGATTACAAAGTTCCTCAACAAGATACAAAGAAGCTCCAAAGAAAATACTGGTCACTTTTAAAAACAGGTAACTCCCTTCATGAAACTCCCTTTCTCTTTTTTTTTTTTTTTTTTGTGAAGGATTAAAATAAGAATGAAAAATATTCATGTCCACAAAGGCTACATTAATTGTGTGCAGTGTTTGAAAAAGAGCGTTTGGAGGGTATGCGGTGAAGACAGTACAATTTTTATCTAGTTTGGGATGTGTGAAACATCGCGTGATGTATCAGAAGTACGTAGTGGGATTGAAAAATGAAAAGTGGGCATTTCTCTATTGCTTCATAAAGCTCAGTACCACAGACCTGCACGGAATATCTGTGCAAAAGATAAGTAGGAGACAGTTCATGAAGGCTTTATGTCCCAAAATAAATTCCTTACAGTACAAATTACAGACTAATAATTTTTAAAAGTTTTCATCCTTATTTTTCTGTTGCCAAAGTTTTAATTTGGAAGTACCTGGAAGTCTTCTCCTTTATTCTGACTAGCTGCAATTAAGTAAAAATGGATACTCTAATCTTACCTGAAATCAAATTATTTTAAATTATGGGGACAAAAGCAGTCCCAAACAAGATTTGTGTTTGGGCTGTCATTGCTCAAACTGCTGAAGGTACAAATAGTATGAAAGCATCTTTGCTTTGAGAAGGTTAAAATCTGAACAGCACTGACATATCGCTGAAAGGATTAAAAAATACCAATGTTATCTCCATTATACAGATGGGAAATTGAGGCACAGAAGGAATACAAACTTGTCCAAGGTCAAATAAGAAATCTCTTCAGATAAAGCTTTCTCTCTAACATACCTCAGTATAAATTTATAGTCCCCTAATAAAGAAATGTGCTAGTCATCCACATAATATACTTCATCATAGGAATCTTACTCTTATCTTTATTTCTAAAATAAGTTGAAACTACCACCACCAATCTGCTCTGAACACTGCTTAGCTAGCCAGCTAAAAGCATTATCTGTGCCAACAGTATAAAACATACCAGTGCTTGTTCTTTGAAATACTTTATTTCCAACTAGGAACTTTACAAAGGCTCTCTTCAGAAGCCAGGATTTCTCTTCTCTTTTGCCCAACTTCCAATATACTGTCAGTTGTTTTTCCTTTGGATGATATGCTTATGAAGACGCTGTAAAAGTGTGCACACACCAATTAAAGAAAGCAGAGTCCACCATAAAGCTGTCTGGACTGTTTTCAAAAGTATACAAAGTTAAATTAAATATTCCAGCCTCAGAAGCTGTCACGACAAAGGAAAACTGTGCCATTGATCTGGTATCAAACATGGTTTACAGCATGTGAGCATGGTGGTCATGGCTCCATTAATTACAGTGGATTAAAGCAGGAAGAGCTCTATTGATGTCTAGATTTGCAGCAGGAGCAACTCAGCAAGGAGATGAGGAGAACCAGGTCTTTCCACTGCAGGAAGATGGTGTTACACTTTAGTGATGACTTGACAGGAGGAAAATTCCAGTATTCATACATGATAAATCACATGCATCGAGATAAGCATAAAGCTTGCAGCCAGCACTTTGCTGTGAGCAGTGTAAGCACCAGGACTGTGGTGAGAAGCATCTGTTTACAATCTTCCAAGCTTACTAATGATCTCAGCATTTGCTGTCTTCTGATGAATAAGGAATGCCAGATGACTATTTTAGAGGCAGCTAGAGGGTGAGGAGAGGTGAAGCATGTTGGCATTATCTAAGGTAAGAGAGCAGGATGTTGCTTCCAAGCACCGTTAAGGAAGCACTTTCTTCCAGCCCTAGGCAGCAAGTCCCTGTTACCACTCCTACAAATAAACAGAGAGCCAGATTTGGTTCAATAGTTTCTCTAGCCTCCATCACAGGTTCATTCTTGTCTCCTGTCTCAGCAATGCCAATTGCTCTAAGTACACACCCCAGCGATTACATCCTTTTTGCACAGAAGTGGCTCTCACTAAGCCCTATTCAACCAGAAAAATAACTGCATATGTGAGAATTAATTACGCAGCCTCCATTAATTATTTACCTGTTGTGATATGAGCTACAATTAAAATGAAGAAGCTGGTTTAACTGCTCATTCCCTTATGTTCCTGTCCCAGATAAGAAGGGAAGAAGTAGTGCTTTTAAATTATCTCAGTGTTCGCTCACATTGAATTTTTTTTTTTGCTATGAACTCAAATTCATTCTTTAAAAGGTAAGCTTTTCCAACAGTAAATCACTGCAAACTTCTTTTCAGCAAAGTCCACTTTAATAATTCCCCAAGACAGTAACCTCTAGACATTACCCCTACACTGTGATCCCAACAGTTGGATTTGCCCTTGACACGCATGCACTTTGAGGGTAATGCTGAAAAAACAGGCTGCCCATTACTCATCCATGCTAAGGGACCAGGAGGAAAATATTTATTTAAAAGCATATTCATAACTATTTCTTATTGTGTCATGGTGAAATACCTAATTATGTGTGTATAGTATTAATAAGCACATAATAACTTTAAAAGTCTTTACTTCGCCTGAGTCCTGCCTTATCACTCATAGCATTTGTTTCTGAGAGCTAGCATTCAATTATTTTAAAATGCAAACAAAAATATATGTGAACTAATACTGGACATATTTACAGTTTAATTTGTTCTACATTCTCTGCATGACAACATGTGCAAAGTGCCAAGTACTGTCTCTTGCCAGCACAGGTTAAAGGCACTCAGAACCTTCCTGACAGGGACTAGCATCTTGCAGAATAAGGTACATGACACCCCAAAAAAACCCATTTTGAGTGTCAGTGAAACACAGTCATGTCTCAACTGGAACATGTTAGGTGTTTCACAAAGGGCACCAAGTCTGTTTAATAGTTTGAGATAGAAAATACAGACATGCAATGCATATACCTCCAGAAGGATTTTAAGTCAGCAAGATACAAAGGTCCAGACCACAGAATATCACTTTACCATATTCCCCTGACATGGAAGGTAAGTCACATCTTCAATTATCACACAAGGTCAGATTTAAGTGTTGTGCCTCCTGTTGAAGAAAGTCTCTCTAACTGCATAAACCCATTAAAATGTTGCAGGTTTATATGTTTATATTACCAGCTCAAAGGAAACTCATTATGAACCAAAATATCATCTTTTGTGCCTTCCACTCCAACTTCAGCAGTCTACTGAGACCTCCAATGAAAAAGCAAAGAGGGTTTAGATATTACAAAAATTACAACCCCAGAGAAGCAATGTCTGCTCCAGGCTGAGCAAGGCCAGCTCTCCCAGCCTCTCCTCAAGGATGGGTGCTCCAGCCCCCATCAACTTGGTGGCCTCAGCTGAATTCCCTTCAGTTTATCAATTTTGCTATGGTTTTGGGCTCCCAACAACCAGATATGGTCTAACAAGTGCTCAGTAGAAGGGGATAATGAGTCCCTTAAATCTGTATTTCTGTTCCTGTTCATAGAGCCCAGGCTGCCATTGGCCACCTTTGCTACCAGGACTCATCGCTGGCCCATGTCCCTCTTGCTGGCCGCCCCCCAGGGCCTTTCCCACAGAGAAACAACTGCAGCAACTCTCCGTTTGCAGTCTTCCATGAAAGCAGCAGATGGCAAATGACAGCGCTCCACAGCTGACACTAGCTAACAGTGGGCACACAGACAGCTACAGCAGTTCAGCCGCTGTGCTGCAAGTGGGTGAGTTGTGGTCACTTGACCTCAGGACTCAGCCCAGACATACATAATACTGATAAACACATGGACCAACATGACCACACTGGTATTACTTTCTCGTTAGTAGATGGCATAATTGCATATAGTTAATCCATAAGAACACTTAATGTCTTAGAACTTTCAAAAAGAGTTTTTGTCAATTGTTACAGTCCTGAAAGTAGAGCTGTGTAACACCAGCTTTGCTGCACTGCAAATGGCTGTCACAAATAAATCAGGAATTACTGCTTTGAAACAATTCTCTTTAAAAGCAGATACTACTTTCCCTCCTTACAGTTCCCTGTAAAATGTAGACAACTGCCCAGCGGTTAAATCTCAATCTGTAAAGTTTACTCTAAGACAAGGAAAATGATCAGTTTCATAGGAGTGAAACAGTTAAAACAACCCCAGTCAAAAATTAAGTTCTTAGTATTAAGCTCTGCACCTTTTTTTTTTTTCTTTTTGGGACAGATTTTTATCAGTAACACAGGTCTGACTGAAAAGCAGTAAAGCTAACTAACAACTTGGGAAGGAGAATAAATCATATGAATGGATGCAAATAGCCAGCTATCTAATTTTGACACCTATTAAGACAATTGCACTTCAGTGACAGATGACATTGTCTTGACATGCAACATTTCTAAAAGTTTATTGCAGCAAGCATTCTTCAATATGAATGTAAGTTTCCAGAATGTTTCGTGTCTCAGGTACATCCTGCTCTGTGTTTCTCAGGCCATCTATCTACCAGGCTCAGAGATGGTTAGAATATCTGCTGTTCTGTAGAACCCCTATAAATCCACTTGAGACAACTCAAGACCAAGGCCTACATAGGTGCAAGTCCCTTTGGACTCACAGCCTTTGAAACTCCTCTAATCACTGACATCAACCTGGGTATTGCACAATACACCTCCACTGAAAAATCAGTCTGGATTGTCTCAAAGACATAAAATAATATAGAAAAGTAGACAAATGTAGTAACAGCACATTGATATGTAGCTGCCTACATCCTAAATTTCCTTTGTTGGAGCAAAAATTCCTTGGTTCCATGTTGGTATTAGGATGGTCAGTAAACTTTCCTTCCAACTAAAGCAAACAAATTCCCTTAAAAAAATACCTACCAAGTACATTAGCCGTACACTGGAGAATTCCTGAGACATCTTCAGTTTCTTCATTGCCAGAGCAGTCTGTATAGGAGCATCTGTTTGATATATTGTGAAAGTTCTTCTCTGCATCCCTGTAACTACAGTAAAAAAAAAATAAAATTTAAAAGTTATAGCATATCCTTATACAAATGCAAATCGGAAAAATGTCTTTCAGAAGTGGCAGTAAAGGATGCCTTTAGCCTCAGTTGTCTCTTCCCTCTTTTCCCCTTCATCAACCCCTTTCTATTCGTGCATTATCACACACAAGGCAACACATTAGTAGCTTGTGTATTTCAAGTATTATACTAGAATCTGTAATGAGAATGAACTCATAAGAATAAAATAGTATCAAGGGCTGAAGCATAAGGGAAGGGTATCAGACAGATCTGTCTTATACGTCATTCCCACTGGGGTGTTGTCTATAACAAAGTTGTACAGTAAACTCCAAGCAAGATGTTTATGAGGCAACGGTGAGTATCTAATAAGAATAATAAATCTTCCACAGCACATTACATTAGCACTGCAAGTATAAAACCTAGCTTTCTCTGTGGATTATCTTTTGAAAAGTTCTCAGCAGAATGAAGGATGCCAAGCTGCAACTCACTATGCTATCAAGAATAAAGTTTGTGCTATAGCCTGTTAAACAAAAATTATAAAGAATCCCACCACTGATAAAAGGCACAAAGCTATGGTCCAACCAGCAAGAAAGCATCTAACATCTGAATTATTCTGTATGATTTAGCTTTGCTGGATTGGTTTTTTTTAATTCAACAGAAACAGAACAGGAGCTCAAACTATGTTTAAAACAAAGCTTTATGCAGGTGATAATGATGACAGAAGAGGGAATACAAGTGAAGAAAATATTGCAGGCAAGTGATAATGCAAAATACACAACTGATTTAGCACAATGCACAGAGCAAAGCTTAACTAATGACTATTTTGTTGACAGTTTTGTAATGCTTTCATACTTTGTTTGTACTCCGTGAGGCCACCTCCTGACACAGTGTCGGAGCTGGCCCGGAGCCCAAAGTCCGGGCCCAGCCCCAGGGCCCAAAGACAGGAGCCAGGCCTCTCCCGCCAGCGCCACCTGCTCCCTGGAGGAGGCCTCCCTGGTGAGGCCACTCCTCACCTCCCATCCTGACCGGGACAGGAGATTCCATGAACATTTACGCTGTATGGGGTGTCAGTGCCCAGGTGCCAGCAAGGGCGGCTGTGGGGGACACGGTGAGGAGAGGCCAGTTCCAGCCAGCTCCAGCAGCCCCACCACAGGGCACAGCTCAGCCCCTCAGACAAGGTGGCGGCGCCTCTGGGGCAACGTGCTTAAGAAAGGGTAAAACACCTCATGGTGGTGTGAAGGGTGAGGAAAACAACTGAGAGAAACAGCCCTGTGAACACCAAGATTAGTGAAGAAAGTCCCTTACGTCTGTGTCATTAAATTTAGAGGACTTGTCATATGGCATATGGCATTTAATGGCTACAGACATGTGGTCGTTGTATTCTGACTCTGTCAGGAAAAGTAAGTTATCTGTGACAATAAAACACTTCCACAGGCAAGGAAAACACTTTTGCAGGTAAGAAAAATGTTGAAAGGAGATTATTTTAATCAATGGGAGAATGTCTTAGGTTTTCATGATGATAGTTGCTATTACTTTCTTTTTACTCCTCAGTCATCCATTAATTCTGTGAATGAACTCAGCACCTGGCTTTCAGCCCTGCTTCTGCAAAAACCTCCTGCAAGGATGTAACGGGGCATGTATGTAACACGCACTGATGCAGGGATTTGCAAGGTTTGGACCTCAGTTCATAGCATAAGTAACCTTTCCAACATTCTCAGCTGGCTCTGTGAAAAGAAAATTGGAGTAGATCTTATACTTCTACAAAGAGATTCCCTATTCTCCGTATATAGCAAACATCACTGTTAATGGAGCAGTCATGCTCTGATGGGATTCTGTGGAAGCAGGACTGGACAGTAGTATATCATGAATGTCCATAGTTCGTACAGTTACTCCAGAGCACCCCTATGAATTTGTGACAAAAATTAAAAAGCTTGACAAACAAGGCTGTGACTAGAGAAGCATAGAGGAAAACATCATCATGCACTACCTCACATTAACACTTACCCAATAACTTGATGCTCAAAATGCTGCAGTGTCCTTTGAAGAGTTTGCCGAATGGTCTGAGGCTATGGAAGAAAAATAAAAAAACCCATAAGACTAGGGAAGTACAATACAGTTTTATTATATTATTTTTTTTTTATTATATTTATTATATTATTCTATGATTCTATGATTATATTACTATTACAAAGAATTTTAACACACAATTTTTCTCCAGTTTTATTCCTCCTCATCTTCTACCTGCTAGGTGTCCAATATAGCAATGGATATGAAACATTATTCATTCCTTATATCTTCATCACTTAAATAGGAAGGAATTTTACAATGTGACATAATAAATACTGCTTACAAGACTAGTTGTGCATAACAAAAGAACGACTTCAATATTAATTCTCAGAAATTATCACCCACCAGCTATCTCATTATTTTAAAATAATTAATTTAAAATAGTTTCAAGAAAATGCTATTACTGTGTGATGAAAGTATCACCAGGAAAAGGCATTGGATTTTTAAACTTTGTATGCTCCCTAGAGCATTTTTACCAAAGGGTATTATAAAGACACAATGTATTTTGGCTTACTTTCCTGACACACTATGATTCTCCAGTCATCTTTCAAAATACCACGAAACTCAAGTTCACCAAAAGAAAAACATTACATGCTTCAAGCATTTATGTGCTATTTCATTTTAATAGGTGTTCACCAAACTACATATGTGCATATGTGTTTATTTGCATTATTACTACTACAATGTTCACCAAAATGCATATATATTTGTTTTCTTTACTACCACTAATACTGCTGCTACTGCTATTCCTATTATCTGTAATTAATTCATGACACATTTTCAGGTAAATAAAGAAACTTCGAAATCCATGTCATTCTCTTTGGAATTTTCCAAGTCACTTACAGCAAAACACCATTCTTCCAAAATGACTGGTTTTTATCAAGTCTGAAGTTTTTCACCTGTCCATTCTGCTCTGGTGCCACAGGTCAGACAAAGGTACACAACTGGGGTTTATAAGCCTTCCTTCTGTATCAGAGGCACACTGGGATATTTTGAACAGACTTGCAGCAGCAGACACTCACATTTTAGAGGCATTTGGTATTTCTCTACCTTTTGAAAAAGGCATCTAATTGCTTTGGAAAGTAATAGTTGAAACACCCCTTAATTACAGGAAATTCATTCTAAAACCACCATCATGTTTGAAAGTCTCAGATTTTGCTTACTGCTGTACAGATTCAGCAGTTCAAGAGCTGAGTATTCTTCCTACTATCACCCATGAGTTGATTATGGCAGGAACGAAAAAGTGTGTACCAAACTGCATTAGGTTTGTGCAACTGTAAAAATTTCTTTTTTAATACCAAATCATAAGAATGTGTCTCCCCTGTTGAATTAAAATGTGTAGAAATGCATTCACTTAAAAAATAAGCTCAAACCAGATGTAAACCTTGAAAAAGGTTTAGGGTTTTTTGTTAATTCTGTATCAGATAATTACTTCTCTTCTCTGTGGGATCTAACTTTCCTGTGCTACGAGGCATTAAATCTTACATGTTCTCTTGCAAAACACAGTGAATGAAACCATGACATATCAAAAACCCATCCCCTTTTCAGTGGTTCAGCACATATAGAAGTCCTTAGGCCTGATGGGCTACAAATATATTTCATGGCATGTTCTCACAGAGATTCAGAAGCTTTCTGTGCTCAGCAGGCAGAAAAATCCATTCTTCACATATAGAAAAGATGTAATTTCCCACTCTAGGAACCAGGCAAAGCAAAATGGCTTTAAGCAAAAAGGTCCGGACAGCTGCTATCGCCCATCTCCATAGAGCATTCCCTCAGCCTCTCTCCCTACACACAGAACATTAGTACTCCACCAGCACCTCCTCCGACATGAAATGGGGAACAGTAGAAATGTCTGATTGTTAAATTAAATCTCCCTTCTGGTTCTCCTTCTCCCGAAGTGCTTTTACAGCAAACATATGGAAGGCAGCTATGCCTGGTACCATAGTGGAGACAAAGGAAAATAGCTTCTTGTCTTCTCAGGAAGTTTTGTAGCTTATGACACCTGAGCAATCCTCCACGGATTGCCTTTGCCTTTCTCCTGCCCGACACACAGATGTTGCACCTCTTTACCCAGAGAAAAGTCCTTCTGAATACCTCAAGATTTGACCACACAAGCAACCTCCAAGTCCTGAGCTTGTTTCATCAATAGACCTCCCTTCTCCTGCAGTACTGAATGTAAAAAAAAAAAAAAAAAAAAAAAAAGTGGAAAAAAACCCAATAGCCCACATGCGGTTAACTCTTCTGAAAGCTAAATCATCTGCCTACCTGTTGTCAGAGAATTTTATACAGTCCCATGAGCTCATACTCCTTTTCACTGGCATCTCCTAACAAATCTTAGAAATTAAGTACAGACAGAAAACAGGATTTACAATTAAAACACTCGTCATAAACAGAGCTGTACGTAACATGCTCACACCGGTACGAAAACTGACCTGAGAGACCACAAAGTCTTTCTTCGTTTCTGACAAGAATTATCACAGCATGTCACTGTGCGTGGTTTAAAAGCCCCTGTGCTCACCTTCACGGTTTGCTCCATTTCATCACTGGCGAGTGTCATTTTGCTATAGACGTAATTCTGTAACTATGGCTACGACTAAACACAATGGAGAGAAGAGATATAACACCAGCTCATAGCTACCTACAAGGACAGTTTGGTGTACCACTTCTTCCACTACTGACTCTGCATTGCCTATGAGAGAGAGAGTGGGGAGGAAAACATTTACACCTCTTTTCTGCATCCAATGGCAAGATGGGATGGAGCCAAAGTAGCTAAACCTTCTTCTAGTAGCTACTCCAAGAAACAGCTTCTGCCATTCGGGGAGATAAAAGGTAGCCTGCCTGTAACAATACACCTCTTCTGCTGCAGTGTACGTCTATGCCATGCAGGTGCTTATTTACTGGAAAGGTTTTAAAGCTTGGAATCCTGGGCTGCATAGGAAAGAGTGTGGCCAGCAGGTCGAGGGAGGTCATTCTCCCCCTCTACTCTGCACTGGTGAGGCCACTGGTGATGGAATACTGCATCCAGTTCTGGGCTCCCCAGTTCAAGAGGGACTGGGAACTACTGGAGAGAGTCCAGCATAGGGCAACAAAGATGATTAAGGGATTGGAGCACCTCCCTTATGAGGAAAGGCTCAAGGAGCTAGGACTCCTCAGCCTGGACAAGGGAAGACTGAGGGGAGACCTTATTTATGTTTATAAGTATCTAAAGGGTAGGTTGAAGGATGTTGGAGCCGGACTCTTTTCAGTGGTTTCCAGTGAGAGGACAAGGGGCAATGGGCTCAAGCTGGAACATGGGAAGTTCCACTCAAATATGAGAAAAAACTTCTTTACATTGAGGGTGACAGAGCCCTGGAACAGGCTGCCCAGGGAGGTCGTGGAGTCCCCTTCTCTGGAGATCTTCAAGACCCGCCTGGATGCAGTCCTGAGTGATGTGCTCTGGGCAATCCTGCTTTAGCAGGGGAGTTGGACCAGATGATCTCTAGAGGTGCCTTCCAACTCTGACAACTCTGTGAAATGTAAAATAGTGACTATTACCTAAAATAGTAAATTTAAACAAATCATTTTATTATAATGATTTACTAAAAGGAATAATCACATCAATTCCCATTTCTAAGGGCAACTCAAATTAAGACATGCCAGTATTGCTACCGTTAACTGTAAATTAACCTAGGAATTGCCACACCAGATCATATCCAAGCTCCATCTGGAATGACATATAAGGTAGAAGGGATTCCTTCTAGTGGATTTTAGTTTGGCTGGAGTGTCTCCAGTGAGTACCAAGGCCTGCCATTTGGAGGCTTCATCCAGCTGTCTGAAGGCTTCCTCTGGTTTCACTTCTTGACCAGCCAGTGTGTAGCAGACATACCACCACACCACCCCTGCTCATCTGACCCTCACACTCTGGACCAGCTTGCTCCATCCAAAGGCAACTGCCCACACACTGCTGCTGCCTCTTTGCATAGAGTGCATCTCCTGCTCCTCACCTTCCCAGCCCATCCTTCCTGAAGAGCCTGTGTCTGTCTCCTGCAGCACTCCCATCCTGAGAGGCTTTCCACATGAGAAAGTATGCAATCCCCACAGGAGATGTAAGCTCAGTCTATTAGACATCAGGGGATGTCCAGTGCCACTCGTTTGCTTCTCATGCTGCCTGCATTTGGGCACAGGCTCACTATCTCCTATGGCTCTACCACCTGGCAACTCAGCACTGCAACCAAAGCCCACCGCTGTCGCACAGCAGCAGGCAGCGATCCTGACCGCGGCAGCACTGCTGTGAAAGCTGCTGTGACTCTGACAGACACCGCTGTTTGCAGGATGCACTCGTAGAGAAATCTGCCCTTCTTCCTACACCTCTACCCAACTCTTCAGTAGTATGAATCTGCTAGAGGAATAATAGCACTTCAAAAACCCTGTTATGAATAACTTTATGTTATTCATAACATAAATCTTTATGAAGATATTTGTCTAAATGATCTTGAAGTATTCTACGTTTTTTAACTCAGACAACTTTCTTTGGAAAAGAATTCCAGTTTAAATATTGTGTACATTTTTTTTTCTTGAGTTTAATTTTTCCTTCTTTTAACTTCATTGCCTCCAGATTTGCAAACAAAGGGGAGAGGACTTCCAGTCTAATTGTATCCCTTGTTATAAATGTCTTTCCTATGGCAATCAAATGTAAGCTTTCCAGTCTCCTCTCAGAGACTTTATCCTATTCCTCAGCCATTTTCTCTTGCATCTGAAATGTCTTTCATTTGATTGCAACACCTTCAGAAATAAATGGTAGGGCTCATCTGCCCAAATGTAGGCACCCAAAGTGATTCATTTTATCCTACAGTTGGCATCTAATACATGCCTGAGGACTGTCTTTAGAAATACGTGTTTCTTTCTTTCGTCTACAAAAGATGTTGAGTGATTGCTTTAGATTTAGACATCTTATAAGTGTTTAAGTAAGGACAGACAAACCCCACCCTGAGGTGACAGAACTGCACAGAGTATCCCAGAT